GTGTTTTTTGCACGAAAAATTTTGAAGAAAACTTTTAAATGCGAGAATCCTACTTTCCTCAAAACTTTCACTTTCCCTCTAACCAAACTTTCAAAAAGTTTAAATATTTTCCTTTTATTATATTATTTTTTTATTACTTGACGCTAACTAAATGGACCCTAATGGAATGAGGAGGAAGGAGATACATTGATATGGTTGTGTAAAAAAGTTTTGTAAAAAAATTTAACAGATCATACGTGACCGTATATATTTTACACAAAATATTATTTTAACAACCACTACCTACTTAATATAGGGCTGATTAGTTAATGGAATGAGAAAGAAGGAAGAGAAAAAAAAATATGTTGATTTGGTTGTGCAAAAAGATTGTGTAAAATACACAACAATTTTACACATTGGTTACACAAAAGGAATGTTTTAACAGACTGCTGGAGATGCTCTTACCAGATGAAGCCTGAGAGCATATCCAACCTGTGTATATATTTTTTTTTGTGTAAATTTGATGTGCCAATTTCAATTTACACAAAATTTTGGATTATTTAATTTTAGCTCCAATTATACCTTTTGTGTAAAAATATATCTCCCAATAACAATCAAACATATGTCATGCCGGGATCCCACATAACTTTTACAAACCTACTTAATATATGGTTGATTTTTTAATGGAACGAGAAAGAGGGATGAGAAAGAAAATATGTTATAAAAATGTTGTGTAAAATATACAATCATTTTACATATTGGTGATATGGTAATGTATCTTAACAGATTGTTGGAGATGAAAAAAATTTACACATCATAGGTGGCAGTGTTTATTTTACACAAAATGATATTTTAACAGAACTAGAAATAGAGAAATCTTGGAGAAATGGAGGAGAAATAAAATATATTGATGTGACTGTGTAAAATGTTGTATAAAAAAATTTAACAGATCATATGTAGCGGTATATATTTTACATAAACTAATATTTTAACAACCCCTACCTATTTAATATAGGGTTGATTAGTTAATGGAATGAGAAATAAGGAAAACAAAGAAAATATGTGGCTGTGTAAAATACAAAACAATTTTACACATTAATCATACAAAAGAATGTTTTAACAGAAAAAAATTTACACATCATAGGTGGCACTGTATATTTTACACAAAATGATATTTTAACAGAAATAGAAATAGAGAAATCTTGGAGAAATAGAGGAGAAAGAAAATATATTGATGTGACTGTGTAAAAGATTGTGTAAAAAAATTTAACAGATCATATGTAGCTGTATATATTTTACATAAACTAATATTTTAACAACCGCTACCTATTTAATATAGATTTGATTAGTTAATGGAATGAAAAAGAAGGAAAACAAAGAAAATATGTGGCTGTGTAAAATACACAACAATTTTACACATTAATTATACAAAAGAATATTTTAACAGATTACTGGAGATGCTCAGATGAAGCACGATTGGAAGGAGAAAAATCTGAATACCAATTATAATAAGATTTATTTTAATTGGTAACTTTTAATAGTATAATAAAATTTATTTTAATTGATAACTTTTATTAATTTATATACTTTTAATGATGATTTGAAATCTGAATGCTAATTACTAAGAGACAAGGCACGGGTATGGTGGATGTGGGGTAGGTATGGTAGACATTTGGTAAAATATTTTATTAAATAATTACCTATTTTATTTTAATTGGTAATTTGTTTTAGTTGTTCTGGTCATTAAAAATTACGAGTATAATTGAATTTATTTTAATTGGTAACTTTTAAGAGTATAATAGGATTTATTTTAATTGGTAACTGGTAATTATTTATTTTTTTGTAATGATGATTTGAAATCTGAACACCAATTACAAAGAGAAAATAAACCGATATGGTATACATGGGGTATGTATGGTAGACATTTGGTAAATGATTTTATTAAACAATACCTATTTTATTTTAATAAATAACTTGTTTTAGTTTTTTAGCAATGAATACTTTCGAGTATAATATGATTTATTTTAATTGGTAACAATTAGAAAGAGAAAATGGGCAGGTCTGGTAGACTGAGGTAGGTGTGTAGACATTTGGCAAATTATTTTATTAAACAATTACTTATTTTAGTTTAATTGGTAACTAGTTGTTTTAGTCATGAAAAAATTCTATAATAAATTTTTTCTTTTAATTGGTAACTTTTAAGAGTATAATAAGATTTATTTTATTTGGTCTACAAAGAAAAAAGGGACATGTGTGGTAGACATGGGGCAAGTATTGTAGACATTTGTAGGGATGACAATTTACTCCGACCCAGTGGGTTTCCGCCCCTAATGGGATGAATTTAGTGGCCTTTAAATGGGTTTGGGACAATGGTAAAATAATTGAAAACCCGAAGCGGGTTTGGGGTGGGGACGGATTTAGTGATGACCCCGCCCTGATTATATATGTATCTTTTAATATATTTTTTTTATATATATAAAATATATATTTTATATTTTAAAAACTTTGATTACTTTACTGGAAGTGCATGTTAATATATTAATATTCAATACTTAGTAATTTAAAAATTTGGCCAACTTATTTATTAGTCCAATTTGAACACATTGGGTTAGTTTATTTTATTTTATTTTATTTTACATAATAAAAGTGGCATAACCTGGCTGACCCCCCGCTGCACCCACAATTAAAAGTAGTGCGTGGGGTGGAGTCAGTATTTTGTCTACCGAAGTAAAGGTGGAGATGGTATAACAATTTCAAACCCGTTCCAGAGTAAGGTCGAAATTGATATGATAAATTTTATAACGGGGCAGAGTAGGATTTAGCCAAACTCGCCACAACTCCGCCCCGTTGCCATCCGTCACATTTGGTAAATTATTTTATTAAACAATTACCTATTTTATTTTAATAAATAACTTGTTTTAGTTGATTTAATAATGAAGAACTTTGAGTATAATAGAGTTTATTTTAATTGGTAACAATTACAAAAATGTTTTGTTTGGAATGCTGGATTTGGATTTGGAAACAGGATTTTTCTCATAATTATAGGATTTCAAATACTTTTTTCATTGCGTTTCAAATCTAGTCTAAAACGCTAGGATTTCACTGGATAAATATTCTTAATTATATACTTCCTTAATTAACCCTCCAACCCTTCTTTTTATTAAACCCTATCCCATTAAATATATATTACCATATCTCAATCTCTAATGTTTTCCTTCATCGTCGTTGTTTTAATGTGTGTGTGTGCGTGCGTGTGTGTGTATATATATATATTTCTTTGAGTGTTGAGCATATCTAATTTTTTTTACTTCTGTATCTTAAATTGCATTTAACACATTGATCCTCGAAGTTATGGAACTTTGGGTAAAATAATCAAAAGAAGTCTGTGTTTAACCAATTGATCCACCACCACTTTTGTTCTTGCACTTGAAAAATTCACAATACAAAATTTTATAACCAAAACTCATACTCCAATATTCTATATTTGAAAAATCTATAATACAGAATTACTACAATCCTCCATAATTCACACCATTTTTTTTTTTTGTTTGGTACACTCCAACAAATTGATCTACCACAATACAGAATTGTATAACCAAATTGATCCACCACCTTGAATTTTTTTTAGTTATAATCAAAAGTCGTGGAATCCAATACTTTAGTATTTGTGTACTTAAAAATTTACACAAATATAGGAGAATTTTATAAGTAAAAATCATATTATCCAATTCTTCAAAATTAACAGATAAGTCATATATATATATATATATATATATAAGCCAATATTGCTAATATTATCTTTAATAACTGTTTTTTTTCTTTTTAAATAAATTTCATCTTTCAGAGTTCCATCACGTAATCATTCTTGTTGTTTGTCTTCTTGCTGTCACTTTGGAGTTTATTTTACAATAAAATAAATATTTCATTTATTATTTAAATAAGGACAAAAATGGTATTATATTATTTTTATTCAAAATATATTTTTAAATCCAATTTGTTGCAAACATATAAATAAAATTTCATTTTAATTTCAATTCCTATTCAAATTTAGATTCGTTTTCCAAATCCTAAAATAATTGATTCACGACAGAGAAAAGAGGCATGTATGGTACACGTGGGCAGGTACGGTAGACATTTGGTAAATTATTCTATTAAACAATTACCTATTTTATTTTAATTGGTAACTTGTTTAATTATTTTAGTCATGAAAAATCGCAAGTATAATATGATTTATTTCAATTGGTAACTTTTAAGAGTATAATATGATTTATTTTAATTAATAATTTATTTTTAATGATGGTTTGAAATTAATACTCTATAGATATAGATAAACGTTGTTTAGAATTCAGCGCTGAATTTAATTATCAAATAATACCTTACCTAGGATTAAGGATTTTAAGCTTTCAAATTGAGTTGAAAACTTCATATGAATATAGATATGATATGAACACAACCGATATTTAAAAAAAAAAAATAGAATACACATATGAAAGAAATATGTTAATAAATTATATTATATATAAATTAATAATTTTGACTCATTTTAGCAAATTCTAATTTAGAGTTTAAGTATTAGATAATTTTTTTTTGCTTCTTATATCTTTATAAATTCATAATAATTAAAAAATTTAATCCGCAATATAATTAGATAATTTTATATTATCATTTTAATAAATTCATAATATATTTTAAATTATATTAAATACTAATTTTTAAAATATAATTACAAAATCATCCCCAGATATTTTAAAGGTAATAGGTGTCGTGCTCTCTAAAGCTCGGATTGATCCCCAGTTATATTTCACCCGCACACAAGACTCCAAAATGTCACATCCCAAATCATCACGCGATTCTCACGTGACAACTCCTGAGGCGGCGAAAACGGGGCGACGTATAGTAGCTACGGTCCAGTCGGTTGCACACACGGAACGTGAACTGACATCGCCATTACGTGGTTCCATTATTCCATTCCAGCGAGGCGTTTGGTCCTTTTTCATACGATATTTTTTTATTTACACCGAATCTCTCTTTCCTTCTTTTTCTCTCTCCCATCGAAACTTCTCCTCTCTTCGCACCGTCTTCTCTCTCTCTTAAATCCCCAATTTTCTCTCTCTTTACATACATTTTCTCTCCCCCTCTCTCTGCATACCCACATGTTGCTTTTTTACGCCCTCTCTCTCGAATCGGAACTTCACTTGTCTTCACTGTGTCTTCTGTCTCTCTCTCTCTCCACAGTCGCCAACTTTCTCTCTCCTTATATTTTGATGTTTCTCGGATAACTCACCGAATAACTTTAGATTGATCAATCGGAAAGATGTTGGAAGATCAGGTTGCAAATCTGCTGCAGAGGTATCTTGGGAATTATGTGAAAGGTCTCAATAAAGAAGCTCTCAAGATCAGTGTCTGGCGAGGTACAATCACATGTTCTCACCACATTCTTATTCTAATTCAATTCGTTCTTTACTTGTATTTCTAGCTTCTTATTCTTCTGCTTAAATTGATATCACACTTAGTTGTATATTATGTTGATATCAGTTATTTAGTATTGAAGTGGACTTCACGCAAGGGGCTTGATATGGTTTAATATTTGCCTCAATTGAGGTCTCAGTTTACAGATTTTGAAATGTCGGTGGGGGAGAGTAATAGAAAGAGAGGGAGGAATCTGAATTTAAATTGATATTGTGTTATTAAAGTGTAGAATGTTAGTTGTATGCATGTGTATGCATCCATGCATGTATTTATGTATATATTTAAATTTGTTCAAAGTGGGATTTGGATTAGGAATATGTGGAAATGGCTTGGATTAGGAATGTGGAAATGGGTGTGCTATTACTTCTAAATAGAAATTGTTTATTGAGATGAATAATATTTAAGCCAATTACTCATAGTTGGTTGCAGTGACAGCCTAAGTGGCTGGCTTGGATGGTAATCCGAATATGTAAATTTCACATCAAGGGAAAAGAAAGTTAGGAAATAATAGTTTTAACATTTCCCTGGTTTTGGACTTTGTGTTACTGAGTTTGAATAAAAAGGAAAGGTTGTCGTAGTCCCTTCCTCTTGTTTGGAAAAGATATTGTTTGGAAAAGATAATGGAGGAGATAAAAATGAAAAAATGAAGGTGAATGTTTAGTCCAAAAAGATTTTGACAATCTTCTCTTGAAATTAGAAAAGACACTCCTAAACTTGGGCAGTTTAATTTTGAGGGTGTACGTTTTATTATGTGAATGGATGATGCAAACAGTAATTCACTTGTATGAAAAATGGGGACAAAATGAGTACTTAATAATTCATTTAATTTTTTCCTTTTTATTCCCGAGGGAATAAAATGATAACAATAGCCAAGGGTTTAGCAAGCCCCATCTTTCCCTGATGGTACACCCCCCATCAATAAAAAAACTACTCTTAGGCTTAGTTTGGTAGAGTGGAAATGGGAGGAAAGGGAAGGGAAGGTGATGGAGGGTGATTAAAAAATTGTGTTTGGGTAAAATGGGTGGAAAGAAAGGAAAGGAGAGGGAAGGCTTTGGAGGGTCATGTATAGCTTTATACAGTAATTTTCTTATCCTCCAAAAAATGGGAGGAAATGGAAGGAAAGTGAAGGCAATGGCTGATGTAATATTTGTGATGCCAATTTTACCCTCAAGATTTTATATACATACAAGTTAGCAGCTGCAGAGAGAGTGAGATGGCGGGCCAGCGGCTGAAGCTTGCGAACGGCGATGGAAATTGAAAGATATGAGTTTTGATTTTCTGCACAATCTGAAATGATATACCGATACGGGTTTTGAACTTTTGATTCTTGCAGACAGATAGATAAACTGAAATTTATGGGTTTTGAACTTTTGATTCTTGTAGCGTAGAGAGAGAGAGAGAGAGAGAGAGAAAGAGAAAGAGAGAGGGCAAGTTCAGAGTTGAGAACGAGAATGGAGATGGAGGCGAGATTGGGGAGGCTGAAATGATTTGCCCTAATTTTTTTTTTTTGGTTCTTTTCTTGTGGCCTGCTAGGAGACAATATATATATATATATATATATATACACACACACATATATATATACATATATATATATACATATATCAGAGTTGAGAACGAGAATACGGAGGCGAGATTGGGGAGGCTGAAATGATTTGCCCTAATTTTTTTTTTCTTTTCTTGTGGGCCTGCTAGGAGACAATATATATATATATATATATATAAATATAAAAGGGTATAATAGTCAATTTATTAAAATAATTTTCTTTCTTTTCTTTCCCTTTCTTTTCCCAAACATGATTATTATCCTTTTCTTTCTTTTCCTTTATTAATTAACCAAACACAATACGAAATTAAAATTATCATTCCCTTTCCCTTCAAACCCACCCTACCTACCAAATCATGTGCTCTTATATTTAGTCATGGCGGGATAGAGAACAGGTGACATGGCGGGATAGAGAAACAAAGTAGTACAAACAATAATATTTGTCAATGTCCTAGAGAGTGATATAGACAAAGGCTATGCTCAAGCTATTAATCGTGGAGAGGATAGTTCCTAAAGGTGGTAAAATTTGAATTTGATTATCAGGAAAGATATAATTATGTTAAGGAAGGAATTAATGAGATAATTGTTCATAGAGAATAGAGATTTGGAGACAATAAATTGTGTGATAACTGATAATTTCTGAGAGAGAGACCTACTATTGTAATCGAGTAACTAATTGAGGGTGTGGAGTAGCAACAGAATACATGTAAACATCACTATTTGAGCATAATTAATTTGTTGAGGGATAGATTTGCTTTTCAAATTATGTACTCATTTGAGATAAACCACAAGAATAAGTAGTAAATAGTTTTGAAGATTGCAAAAGAAGAGAGGGAATAGAGTGTGGAGGACAAGGGTAATGGTCAAGGTGTGGGTACGTTACACCTCTCTAGAACAAGAACCCGCACTTTATCTAATAAGGGAAAGGTTGCTTCATTGCAACTATCTAAATAAGGAATAAATAAGGGAAAGACTGCTCTAGTTTTAGTCCAGTCTACTTGGAATGTTCAAATGGTGGATTGGTACATACCTACCTTGGCTAGAATCGTTTCTATCATTCTTGTCAATACGATGTTTCTTAGTTGCAGCAAGAAATAGCCCTCTTTGGAGTATATATATTGTGATGTTGTGGCCCGAATATGGTGCTGGGTCGTGTTGCGAGCCGTTTACAATCCGACTGCCCGTTGAATGAGAATCTAACCCCTTTTTGCTTGTGGGTTGTAGACCATAATTAGTACTATCTTGTAGCCCGATATATAAGTGTGTTTAGGGTTTGGAGTGGGATTATTGAGAGACATTGAAAATCGCAGAAAAGAGAGTGAGCGAGGGTTTGAGGGCTAAAACTTGTAATCTCCATATTTTTTGCATAGTGAATTTTTTCACTGGATCTTCATTGTTGATGTACGCTTTTCCGAATCACGCTAAATCTTTGTGTTCTTTGTTTGTGGCGTGTTTATTTTCTGTCGTGATTGTTGTTTTTTTCTTGGGTTCACTTTGTTTGTCGTAACACACACACACACACACACACACACACACATATATATATTTGATAAGTAAAAATATATTAACAAAAGCGCTCAGAAGGGAGTGAACCTATAACAAAGCAAACAAAATATGCATAATGTGCCTTTACAACGATAAGTTGTCAACAAAATTAAAAAAGCTATCTATAGATGGGCAATTTTTCCCATTAACCAAAGAATATAGAGAGTGCAAAATATTCGCCTTAAAAACCCACACCGACGACTCTTTTCCCTTGAAAGATCTCCTATTCCGCTCGTGCCACAACCCCCACCAAATACACAGAGGTGCAACCCTCCACGCCTTCCTAACCCAACTTCCCACTTGTCTCCCTCTTCAAGCCTCTAACATATCCCATCGTGTTACTTAACACCACCCAGTCTACCCCAAAAACATTCAGGACCAAACTCCAAACATCCGCTGCCACTTTACAGTGCAACAAGAGATGATTAACGGACTTGCCTGCCTTCTTACACATGCAACACCAATTAATTGTTATTTGGCGTCTTTTTCTGAGATTGTCAATAGTAAGAATACTGCCAAGCACCGCTGTTCATGTGAAAAAAGCCACCTTTAGTGGAGTTGAAGTCCTCCATATAGCCTTCCAAGGGAAACCGTTGCTTATCGAATTCGTAAGACTTTGATAAAACAGCCTCACCTTAAACACCCCTTTAGAATCCCCCATCCACACCATCTCATCCCTTACTTCCCCCTCCACCAGTTGACTGTAAATTAGTCCCATTAATTCGGTAAACTGAAACAACTCCCAATCATTAAAATTTATACGAAATCTCACATCCCAACTAGCTCTCCCATTCTCTAGCCTAAAATAATCTGCCACCACCGCATGTTTCTCCTCAACCATCCTAAAGAGTCTAGGAAACCTACAAGCCAACACCACATCCCCACACCAAACATCCGTCCAAAACCTCACATAACGACCATTCCTAACTCTAAACCGTATCCGCTTAGAGAATTCGTCCCAACCCCTCCTAATACCTTGCCATGAACCAATACCTGCTGATGAAGACACACCTCTAGACATCCCACCTCCCTCTTTTTCCCCAAACCGACAAGCAATAACACGCCTCCAAAGCACGGACCTTTCGCACCCAAATCTCCACAGCCATTTCCCTAACAGAGCTTTGTTAAACATTTCCAAGTTGCGAAGCCCCAAGCCTCCTCTTTGAATCGGGGTGCACACTTTCTCCCATTTCACAAGGTGGTACTTAAACTCCTCCCCTGCACTCCAACCCCCCAACAAAAAGTTCCCTTGAATCTTATTAAGTCTACTAATCACTGTTATAGGAATTGGAAACAAAGACATGAAATATGTAGGAAGATTAGAGAGGGTACTCTTCAGCAATGAAAGTTTACCCCCTTTCGACAAGTATTGCTTCTTCCACCCAGATAACCTCTTTTGAAAACGTTCCACCACTGGATCCCAAATGGCAACTCTCCTCATGGAAGCACCCAATGGCAGCCCCAAATAAGAAAATGGAAAAGCCTCCACTCTGCAACCCAAAATAGCTGCCAACTCATGAATATGATCCACATCCCCTACTGGAACAATCACACTCTTCCCAATATTAATCTTCAGGCCTGAAACCACTTGAAAACAAGCCAAAACACACCTCAAGTGTCTCACTTGATTCACACTCGTATCACAAAAAACAATAGTGTCGTCAGCAAACAAGTGAGATGTAACAATTTGATTTGGCACACTCCCCATCGAAAAACCTTAAATAAAGCCCAGTACCTCTGCCCTTTTCATGAGTCTACTAAAGGCTTTCATTACAATAATGAAAAGAAAAGGGGACAATGGGTCCCCCTGACGTAAACCTCTCGAACTTGCAAAGAAGCCTGCTGGTGACCCATTCACTAATATAGAAAACCGAGCCGTCGAAATACATCGACGAATCCACCCTCTCCATTTGGTTCCAAACCCCATCCTCTCCAACACATACAATAAGAACACTAAATTCACATGGTCATATGCTTTTTCTATGTCCAATTTACACACAATCCCTTGGTTCACCACTCTTGACTCTTGCATCAATACATTCACTAGCAATAAGAACCAGGTCGAGAATTTGCCTTCCTCCAACAGACGCATTTTGAGACTCCAAAATGACCCCATCCAACACTTTCCTTAACCTAATAGCCAGAATCTTTGCAATAATCTTATAAACAGAGCCCACCAAACTAATTGGTCTGAAATCCTTGACTTCAACCGCTCCACCCTTCTTAGGTATAAGAGTAATGAAAGTGGCATTCGAACTTTTCTCAAAACAACCTTCCTCGAAAAAAGCATGCATTACTCTCATCACATCCGCTCCACCCTTTTTTTTTTTAATGTTGTAATTAAATTTAATAGTATATATTGAGAAGGAATTATGTGCATTGGTTACCGTATGAAGTAGGCACATAGTGCATATTAAGTGCTTGAGTTTTTTTATTGTTGTTTTCTTTGTGATCAAGAGTGATATGTACACACGCCAGAGGCAAAAATCCACAAAAACACACACAAACAATGGCACCTTCCAGTGATGGTTGATTGTAATATACAATGTGTAATAATAAAAAGCACCACAAGATGCTTCAATACCGAGATGAGCTACGTAATGAAGTGATATATTTTTCTAGTTGTCCTGGAAAATGTTGGAAATTCAGTAGCCTGAAGAGTTTTCTTGGATCTATTTTAGCCAAGAGCTTTAGGGTGCATTATTATAATCTGTGGAGTAAATAGATCGTTAGAGTGCTCCTAAATTATTCTTCACTACCAATTAGATATGCCATATAGTCCCCCCCCGCCCCCCAAAAAAAAAAAAAAGAAGCATCTATTTAGTGGGATTTTGTATTGTTTTTGAATAACAGGTGCTTGTAGGCTATTGGATGTACAGTTTAGGCATTATATTGACTGTTTCTTGATTTGTTTGCGTGTGTGTATATATATTAATTATTGCTTTAAATGTTCAACAGGTGATGTAGAGTTGACAAATATGCAACTGAAGCCAGAGGCACTCAATGCGTTAAAGCTGCCCGTGAAGGTTAAGGCGGGATTTCTTGGATCAGTGAAGCTCAAGGTATGTGGGGTTGATACTAGTTTGTTGCTAATATCATGATATGATAAATTATTTGATGGGAAATCTAATGGCCTACTCAGAAGATATGGTTAATTATGACTTGTTAATTAGTATTTTAAGTATATTCTGAAATTCCAAGGCTGCATATTGATTGGCAGACTTGAATTTGGTCTGTGGATAGCTCTATCTACAAGTATTGTATATATATTTGAAATTTTTGGAGTGAAGAGTTATTTGTTTCATAAGTATATGCTCACAACAAGAGTCTCAACTTGTATTTTGATATCATGGAGGTGATGTTAGTGGTGATGTGAGTGGTTTGATTGTGCCAGCAGCAGCCTTGCGCCAGTGGTTTCAGTTTTTTATTTTGTTGGTGGCTATGGGGTGCAATTGTTATTAATTGATCAGGTGTGAATTGTGTGGTGATGTTGTGGTCAAGTGTGGTGGTTGTTTTGGTTGTAAAAGTGGCAATGGTGGTGGTTGCCTAGATAGGACAGAAAACGTAGCTGGTATGCCTTGGGAAAGGTAAAGGTTGAATTTATACTGAATCCTCATATATATGGCGTTAAATTCCTTGTCCCTGGGAGTTTGGGGAAATTGAAATCTGAGTTGTCATTTCCGATCCAAATAATGATGCATGTAAGGTGGTGTTAGGATTTGTGTCTCAAATTCTATTTATGAAAAGTGGGACCGGTCACACTTGTCTCGGCTAAGTTCCAAAAAGTGGGACCGGTCGCACTTTTCTGATAGTTTCGGGATTTGTTTCCTTAACCAAAGAGGTTCTTTCCAAAATGCTATAGACTTGTGGGGCAAGTTGGTTCTCTTGTAAGGACAGTCTTGGCCTCCAAGGAATGTAAATGGAGAGGAGTTGTTTGGAGAATGTAGAGAAGAGAAAGAAAAAAGGGTTTGAGTGAGGAGAGGAGGAGAGACTGTGCAAGAGGAGAGGGATGTAGGCTCATAGGAGAAGGGTTTGCATCATAATTGTTAAAGGTGCTGGAGGCGCAAGGCGCCACCTTGGCGCCTTGATTGTCTCAAGGCGACTGCCTTGTATTAGGCGTGCACCTTTTGGGAAAAGGCGCAAGGCTACAGGCGCTCAAAAGGCACGCCTGCTTGAAAAATATATATATTTTTAATTTTTTTGTTATTATTTTGGTTGTGTATGGTTTATTATTTGTTTATTATTAGTTTAGTTTTTATTTGTTTATTACAAAACCTATGTAAGACTTACAAGACTTACAAGACAAAAAAAAAAAAAAAACAGAAAAGAAAAAAGGAGAACCAAGTTTACCAAAAAGCAAAAGGAAAGAAGAGACAGAGAAGTACGAGCCTCATGATCTCATCTGCGAAGCTTGGGACTCTTGGATCTGCCGGATCTGCGAAGCCGGTAAGTTCTCCTTCCCTCTCTTCTTCTCTCCTTCTTGCTTCTCGGATCTCTCAGTCTCAGATTTATTTATTTATTTTTTCTCTATCCTTCTTCTTGTTTTCTTCAGTTCTTCTTCTTCTCTCGGCAGTTAGCTCTCTCGAGTCTCGGCTTTAGCTCTTCTTTTATTTTATTTTTATTTCTCTATTTTTTATTATTATTTTATTTTTATTCTTCTACTTCTTTTCTTCTTCTTCTCTCGGCTCTCTCGAGTCTCGGCTCTTCTTTTATTTTTTATTTTTTTCTCTATTCTTCTCTCGTCTCGGCTCTTCTTTTATTTTTATTTTTTATTTTTGTTCAAAATCAAAAGAGAAAGAGAGAGAGCAAAAGCCTATTCTCTGTGTATTCAAAACAACTTACAAGACCTAATAAGCCTATGTAGGCTTATATATGTTACAAGGTTTACATAATAACACAAACGGCCTATTAACTAAACATAATTACATAACGACCCATTATATATATATTAACTTCTTACACTCCCCCTCAAGCTGGAGAATATATATCAAATAATCCCAGCTTGGAACAGATAGTTCTTAATCGATTATGACCCAATGCTTTGGTAAACATATCAGCTAATTGATCTTCAGACTTCCAAGTTTACCAAAAAGCAAAAGGAAAGAAGAGACAGAGAAGTACGAGCCTCATGATCTCATCTGCGAAGCTTGGGACTCTTGGATCTGCCGGATCTGCGAAGCCGGTAAGTTCTCCTTCCCTCTCTTCTTCTCTCCTTCTTGCTTCTCGGATCTCTCAGTCTCAGATTTATTTATTTATTTTTTCTCTATCCTTCTTCTTGTTTTCTTCAGTTCTTCTTCTTCTCTCGGCAGTCAGCTCTCTCGAGTCTCGGCTTTAGCTCTTCTTTTATTTTATTTTTATTTTTCTCTATTTTTTATTATTATTTTATTTTTATTCTTCTACTTCTTTTCTTCTTCTTCTCTCGGCTCTCTCGAGTCTCGGCTCTTCTTTTATTTTTTATTTTTTTCTCTATTCTTCTCTCGTCTCGGCTCTTCTTTTATTTTTATTTTTTATTTTTGTTCAAAATCAAAAGAGAAAGAGAGAGAGCAAAAGCCTATTCTCTGTGTATTCAAAACAACTTACAAAACCTAATAAGCCTATGTAGGCTTATATATGTTACAAGGTTTACATAATAACACAAACGGCCTATTAACTAAACATAATTACATAACGACCCATTATATATATATTAACTTCTAACACTCCCCCTCAAGCTGGAGAATATATATCAAATAATCCCAGCTTGGAACAGATAGTTCTTAATCGATTATGACCCAATGCTTTGGTAAACATATCAGCTAATTGATCTTCAGACTTCACGAATGGAGTAGAGATGCTTCCACGTAATATTTTTTCTCGAATAAAGTGACAATCAACTTCAATATGTTTGGTCTTCTCATGAAACACAGGATTTGATGCAATGTGAACTGCTGCTTGATTATCACAGAACAATGGAGTAGGAGCTTCAACTGTCAACCCAAGTTCTTTTAGAAAATGTTGTATCCATGTCAACTCACTAGTGGTATGGGCCATTGCCCTATACTCAGCTTTAGCACTAGATCGAGCTACCACCGTTTGCTTTTACTTCGCCATGTAACTAGATTTCCTCCTACAAATGTGCAGTAGCCGGTAGTAGATCTCCTATTTGAAGGAGAACTGCCCAGTCGGCATCTGTAAAACCGTCCACCCTGAGATGCCCATTTGGTTTATATAGTAACCCAAAACCTGGAGCTTGCTTGAGATATCAGAGAATCCGAATCCAGTGTGGCATTCTAGGGGCTTCCATGAACTGACTTACAACACTAACAGCATACGAAATATCAGGTCGAGTGATAGTGAGATAAATTAATTTCCTAACAAGGCGACGAAATCTGCCCGGGTCACTAAATAGATCACCCACATCAGCTACAAGTTTTGTATTTGAATCCATAGGAGTATCAACCGGACGACCACCTAACATACCTGTTTCTTCTAATAAGTCCAACACATACTTTCGTTGGGATAAACTTATACCTGTCTTGGATCTAGCTACTTCAATACCCAAGAAATACCTAATTTTACCCAAGTCTTTAGTGTGGAATCGATATTGTAGAAACAACGTTAACTTAGCAATGCATTCAGAATCATCACCTGTGATCACAATATCATCAACATACACCACAAGAATTATGAAACTAGCTTTAGTGCGCTGGTGAAATACCGAATGGTCAGTCTGACACCTCTGAAGACAAAACTTTAATGCCGCCTCAGAGAATTTTCCAAACCAAGCCCGTGGAGATTGTTTCAAGCCATATAGGGCCTTTTTAAGGCAACAAACAGTGTGAAGATACTCCCCCTGAACAACAAACCCAGGTGGTTGCTCCATATAAACGTCTTCTGCTAAGTCACCATGCAAAAAGGCATTTTTAACGTCTAACTGAAACAGAGGCCAATGTCTAATTAGCAGCAAGAGAAATCAAAACACGAATAGAGGAAATCTTAGCAACAGGTGCAAACGTCTCATTATAGTCAATACCATAAGTCTGGGTATAACCTTTGGCAACAAGACGCGCTTTTAAACGCTCAACGGACCCATCCGGAAGATACTTCATAGTATATACTCAGCGACAACCAACAGGTTTGACACCTGGAGGTAATGGAACAAGAGTCCACGTGCCATTCGTGTGCAAAGCATCCATTTCATCCTGCATTGCTTTCCTCCAACCCGAATCAGACAAAGCATCCTGCACAGTCTTAGGAACAAATGTAGTAGACAACTGAGAGAAAAAACATGAGAATGATGGTGACAAGGAATTATAAGAAACATAATGAGCAATGGGATGTTTAGTAGCACACGAGCGAAGAGCTTTACGAAGTGCAATCGGCAAGGAATCAGGCACAGTGGAATTTGTCGGATCCAAAGACTCTGAAGATGATGGAGGAGGGACGACAGCAGATGGCTTTGGTCTTCGAGTGTACACCTGTAACGGGGCAGATGAAGGAACCAGAGATTGAGATTGAAGAGAAGGTGAGGGAAGAGGAACTGCAGAAGGAGGCGACTCAAGATTGATATCAAGAAGTGAATCAGTATCTGAAAAATATGGTATGGACTCAGAAAATGTGACATCCGCGCTAATAAAGTACTGTTAAGAAATAGGACTATAGCAGCGATAACCTTTATGAGAGCGAGAGTAGCCAAGAAATACACACTTTGTGGCACGTGGGTCTAGTTTATCAAAACCAGGACCAAGATTGTGGACATAACATACACATCCAAAAACCCTAGGAGGAAGAGAAAACAAGGGAGAATCAGGAAATAAAATAGAATGTGGAGATTTGCCATTTAATATAGATGACGGCATACGGTTAATAAGATGACAGGCTGTAAGAACAGCATCACCCTAAAACCGTTTAGGCATACGCATATGAAACAAAAGAGCACGAGTTACTTCTAAGAGATGTCGATTCTTACGTTCTGCAACTCCATTCTGTTGTGGAGTATAAACACATGAATTTTGATGAATAATTCCTTTATCACTAAGATATGTATCAAAGGGAGTTGAAGAATATTCCTTAGCATTATAAG